AAAAAAAAAAAAAAAAAAAAAAAAAAAAAAACAGATTGTATTTATATGAAAAGCTTTATTGATCTTCACCCTCCCCATACCTGGCTGCCAATAGAAAAGATTCTTGAGCTATTATGTTTTCTGAATTTAAGAGTATGATATGAATGATTGAATATTTTTGTTTGATGATCTTTTTACTCTTAGGTAACTTCTTTTATATATTCTTAAATATCTTAGTTAATAGAAATTAAATTTACCAGAATTTTCCTAAAATTTTTTGATGAGGAAAATCCTTTTTGGATGAGGAAATCCTTTAAAATGACAAATTTTATATTCTGCTGTTGTTGCTAAATGAGAGCTGTTTTTCTGTAAGTTTTGTCTGCATGTATCTGTGCATGACTCAGATGACTTCATTGCTACCTGTTTGCAGGTATTGTGTCCTTAGAGCCTCCTTAAGCCCCTGTCAGTGTCATGGAGAAAACATCTTATCCCATATAGGGCCTAAAAACATAAACTAGGAATTGCTCCTCCCTGGGATCTATCAGCCTGGGGTGCACAGATGAGGCCTCAGGGCTACATCTCATGGTGGCTGTAATTGTCATTTCTTCTTCCCTTAGGCTTTCCCACACCTGGATGATGGGGATATAGGTAGGAGAATCACAGCTAAAGCCTGCTTCTTTTCACTTTATTTTTCCTGAAAAAAATCTTGCTTTTCAAGAAGGAAAAGGATCTTGCCTAAGTAAAATTCCAGAGTTCTAAATATTTCTCTTCATTGTCATAAGTAAACACTAATCTGTCCATTTCCCTTTCTGCCTTTCTCTCCTACTTTCTGCCTTTCCATTTTTCCAAATGCCCTGTGCAGAAATAAATAGCTGCTCAAATTCTCACTGCCTTCTGTCTTTTCCCTGTTAAATACCACCTACAAAATAACCCCTTTTTGTGTCTTCCTACCTTAAAGGGGTCTTTCAGCTAAGTGTTAGGAAGAAAACCATTTAAACTAACTTTACATTTGTATGTTATGAAAGAATACGTGCTAATAATCTAAGTGAATTAATGGGTTATTTGGGGACTGTGACACAAATTTATCTGGCTGAGGAACAGTAACTCATGAATGTCTAGGTCTGTTGCTGTCCAACATTATAGGCACAGCCACATGTGACTAACTAGAAATTTCATTTCTCAATTGTACTTGCCACAACACCCATACAGACACAGAACTTTTCTCCATTGCGAAAATTCTGTTGGACAACACTAATCTAGAATATCCTCACTACTTATAATGGCGGTCCATGAGCCTGCAGCACAAATATCACCTAGGAGGTTATAGAAATGCAGAATTGGGCCAGGGATTTAGCTTAGTGGTTCTGGTGCCTTCCTTGCAAGCACAAGGGGCCCGAGTTCAACCTCCAGTACCAAAAAAGAAAAAAAAAGAATTGCAGAATCTCAGGTCTACTCCAGGAATAATGAATCAAAACTCTTCCTTTCAGCAAGATTCCTTAATTAGCATTGGCCTGCATCCATTTTATCCTTACTAGTAGGAATCTGAGGTCTTCAAAATTCCCTACAATAGCTTGTTCTTCAACCCACTATTCTATCATTTCTCTCACTAATCCTAGAAATAAGCTGAAATTCATTCATCACCATAGCAGAGTTTTCTTCTCGATTCTTATCCCCAATTCTAACCTTAGATGGGCCCTCCCTACGCAGTGATTTTATTTCGATTCACAGGAGTTTAGCTGACCAACACAGCTGGCCTCCCTCCAGGCCCACACTCGACTCTAAGCCACTAACAGTCCACATTTATTCTGTTTGTTGCTCATGTTCTTTTGTTCACGACTTAGGTCGGGAACATTTCAGAAGAATGTGTACTGAGATAAGTAAACACTAATCAGTCTCCTGCAACTCATGCATTTCATTTTCTCTTATCAGTAGATTATCCTGTTGATATAGTTCATGCTTGAGGACACATAGCAGCACACACATTAAATGATCATTAGGCATGCAAGAGATCCAGTTGGTTGCAAGTGAAGTGACTGTGTCACTTAAATCTTCCAAGTAGGCATGTTTTGCTAGATTTGAATTTTTTCGTATGCTAACTTATCTTGATTTCTCATGGCTAATAATTCTCTAAAATAGTGCTTGAAAGTAGTGTAGCATATTCTTGGTTCTCAAATACAAATTTTAAAATTCTTTAATAAGATCTTTTACAATGACTTATTGTCAGGAATCCTTTACTTAACAATTTTTACATACTGATATGATTTATTAAAACATAGCTGCCTAGAGAATCTGTAGCTGATTTTTATGAATAAGAATTTTAGACTTCTCGGGTTACTTTAATAGGAACCTAAAAATGAAGTATCACTTAGAAAATTATGGGAATTCCTTCTATGCTTCATTTCTAAAGTAAATTACCTGCTATTGTCAACTAGACTAATAATATAGTGAACTGTCATGTTCTAAGGATATGAATTCTTTAATTAAAACAACACAACTTTTGACTTTGGCATCTAAAGTCTTCTCCACCATTTTCACAAGGAGAATTCATCCATCTTTCACATATATGTTGGATAGACAGTGGGCTTAGAGTTGAATCGTGCAAGTGACAATTTTTAAACAGTTTTTCCTCAGCACAAGGAGAGAGAGAGGAGAGAGATGAAATTGTTTTGGATGGGGAGTGTGGCTTTCCTTGTGGTTCCCACTGCTTGGCTTCCACACTTCTCTCACTGCCACACTCCGTGTGCAGCGGGACCTGGGTCTTTTTGTCTCCGCTGTGGCATCTCTCGATTGACTTCTGTATTGCAGTCTCTGTGTCACAACAGTAATGTGATACCTTTGCAGCAGGATACCTTCCTAAAGGTGATGTTACTGGTTTCTATAACAAGCAAAGCAATTTTTTTAATATAGCTTTGCTTTTTCCTGGTTGTGTTTGGGGACATTTATGTTAGAAGAAAAAAAAGTACTTCTACAAAAGTTTATCATTAAAGAGAGCAGAGAGATCAGAGACAGCTGGACTGTACCTGTTTGTATCATTCTTCCTGTTATTTTCAGGAAAAGAAATTTAATAGACTTACTGAGACTGCGTTAACTCAGTAGCAAGGTTTAGGATAAATCCCATATTATAGAATATAGATGAACAATACCTTTTATGTAAGTAAGATGTTCTATTTATTTACATATTCTCCTGATTTGTTATGCACTTCCAAGTTTCAGTTTGAAAATAAAAACCAAGCCACTACTTAAAAACTTTTTAAACTCCACACACAATATTTTAACTTTAGCTACAAGTTATTCATTCTGTATAGGAATTTATAGTCTAAGTATTTCATGGTAACTGCATTTCAAGTATAAAATAACCAAACCTAACAGAACATATGGTTACTTTATTAAAATAAAGGATTGCAGTACTCAGTTGATAATGCTACTAAAGTAGGATATTGCAGTTGGATATATGAGCTAAAAAGAATATATTTTGTGACCCTTAATGTTTGATTGCACTATTATTTCACACAGCTTAGCCATATCTATTTCTATACTCTTTAAATATTAAGCTAATATATAAAAATTTTGTACAGTTCTGGTAACTGGTAACTAGTGCAGGTATTGTAACATTCCCTGTTTTGTGAGTTATATGTTGTATATTGAAGATGACTAGTAAATTGGAGTAATATATTTATCTAGAGCTGGGAAAAGATGATAATTATTTTCAAATCTCCAAGTAAGTTGTATCAAATATTTTTCTTTCTCTTAAGAGTGATGAAAGTCTCACTTTTATGTTAACATGTCTATTTATAAACAGGTTTCTCCTTTTCTGGTTTTATTAATTTTCATATTATAAGGTTTCTTATCTTTTTCTACCAAAGTAATTATCATGTTGGTTATTCAAACTGCCAAGTTGTATTTTAATTTGTGGAACTTTTGGCAGATAAAATGTTTGATAACACACAAATATAAAAGCTTTGTATATTTTGTGGCTTTATGAGCAAGAATTTTACTTTTGAAATTCTCTATGTGAGGCAGTGCTGACATCAGCATAGTCCATCATAGGCAGTATTACTTATAATCATATGAAGATTTTCACAAGTTGTATAAATCAGTGCATTTATTTATTGTATTGTGAAATTTAATCTTTATACAAAATACCTATTCTGGCTCTTTTCCTTTTTATTCTTGTTGCCTAGAATGTAATAACTCTTAATGTTTTACTTATATACTTGAAGCACTCATTTCTGTCAAACAGATGCCCTGTTTTTTTCTTGTAAAAAGAAATATTCTTTCCTAGCAGAGATAACTGAACAGTTATAGGGACTTTGTAAAAAAATGATTTTCATATCTAAATATCAAAAACGCTTAAACCAAAAGAAATCACCAATATTAAGAATTTAATATACCCAAGAGATCCATTGTACTATATTTTGGCAATATATGTCTTCAATTTATAACTTTTTTCCTGTGATGAATCTTCAGTTTATGTTATAAGAAGTTTCCGTGATTGTACTGCCAATATGGCATTTAAATTAACATTAAGAATCATGAATCCCTAAAAATATCACATACCTCTTCCAGCTAGCTCTTGGTTCCGAGATATATATATACTTATATTTATATTTGCTTCAACTCTGGGCTCTTTTGCACAAATAGTAACCCTTGGTTAATGGTTTGTTTCTTTTCTTTTATTTTTTTAAATGGTGAGATTTTAATTGAGTCTTAAATAATTTTTAAATATATTCTCAATTCAACTGATTAAAAACCTACAA